ACCTTGTCACATCGTACCTGGTCACATCGTACCTGGTCACATCGTACCTGGTCACATCGTACCTTGTCACATCGTACCTGGTCACATCGTACCTTGTCACATCGTACCTTGTCACATCGTACCTGGTCACATCGTACCTGGTCACATCGTACCTGGTCACATCGTACCTGGTCACATCGTACCTGGTCACATCATGTCCGTTAAAATTGTATGTTTACATCGCACCTGCTCACGGTATTGACATCCTATCCCTGTTCACAGCCCAAGTCAATTTATAACCTTCTGACATCTGTTTGTCCGAGATCTACCTACTACTACATCTTTTCTGTCCAAAATCTATTAGTTTTAATGTGTACCTGTTTAATTCCACCTGTTATGATGTTTAATGATTCGAAATCTACCTGATTTGGTGTATACATGTCAGAAATCTACCTGTTGTAAGTTGTACCTATCCGAAGTCTACCTGATTTCCCGTGTACCTGTCCGAAATCTACCTGTTTTAAGGGTACCTGTCCGAAATTCACCTGTTTTGAGATGTAACTGTCGGAAATCTACCTGTTTCGAGATATATACCTGTCCGAAATCCACCTGTATCGCTGCGTACCTGTTTGCAGGTAATTTGCTCATTCCAGCAGATTAATGAGCGTTCGTGTCAGCTGAGCCGCGTGGCACCTGGTCGTCCTACCGCATCATTCTAGTGGTCACTGGCCTTGGACATTGTCCACTGCGTTCTCACCAGCGCGGCAATTTCGTGACTGGCTGGCGGTGCGATGTAATTGCATGCTGCTGTTATTCTCTGAATTGTGCGATCGCTGCTGAGTGAGTGCGAACATCTTTTAGTTGTGATTGCCAATTTAGCGAGGATTTTCGAGCATAATTGCAGGTAGTGAAGAGAAGACAGAATGGTTTTGCCGGACAGCTGCTTTGTATTCGAACGCAAACGAACATCATGCGTTTAACAGTGTCCGCTCTGGCGGCGGGGCTGGGTCTATAGGTAAGAATACCAAGCTTTCGCCATGGTACCGCTATCGTGTGGCGGTTGCTGTTTGATGTTTTCTGTCCGTTTCTAACTGCGTCCGATTGCTTCCACTTCAAAGACCGCATCACGGATCAACCATCCTGCTGTGGCCTTGCCTGTCCCGAATTCTTCAATGAGCAAGGATTTGGTCATCTTCGCATTAAGAAACGTGAGCATTATATCAGAAAGGACGTGGAAGGCATAACGCAGAATTCACGCTGGTTGCTAGAAGACTCGTGACTCAAAACAACCTATCCGAATTTTGGGATAGGACCGTGTGCCCATTCGTAAATAAATCAGCAAGAACCGGCGAAGTATGGACGAAAAAAGCGTTTACAGGCACGCGAGCTATTTTTCCATCGGGCGCAAATATTTCTCCCGTCTGTCGCAGCAGCTGTGCTCACTACCGGCGACGTACGATCCATTGCTTACTGTCACATTTCGCCGTAATGTGCCTTTTGAAATCAACGGCCGTCCGCGTGTTTACAAGATTGAGCGCGGGACATCAGCGTGTGTATTAGTATCTCCCCCTCAGTGTAGAGCCTGCGGGCATGTAAGCGGACGGTGGCCAGGTGCCTTCGTGTACCGCCCGTCATATATAGAGCCGAGTGTTGGTGGTGTCTGACAGGCGTTATTGAGGGATACGCGTGGAGGGGCGAGCGACGTACTCAACCGCCTACACTGCTAAAAATGATTTGCTTGAAATGAGACTGTCAAACAGCGCATAGCTTCAGTTGAGCAGAGAATGCCTAGAAGGAAGACCCCCCTCCCCCTAACACGTACGCGTACGCACACCAGCACGGACGCTGCACACACACAACACACACCACACACACGCACACGCAGCACGCACACGCACACGCACACACACACCGATCAATCCTCCACGCCCTCTCCCTCTCCCAGCAATGATCTAAATAATTAACGACACCACCCACCATAAACTGGGGGGCATCGCCCACCCCGCGTTTTTAAATCCGCGGTCAAAGATCGT